ATTAATGAAAAGCATTGTGAAGAAGTCAAGAACTTAGGATGTTCTTCACATGCACCAATAATATGTGACTAAATAGATGGCCATTCTATGGCTCAGTCAGATTGGTATACACCTTAAAAAATATTCACTAGGTCTGGCAGTGCAGGAACCATAGTCCCAGCCACTCAAGAAACTGAGGCAGGGGATCACAAGATCAAGACTGGCCTGGGCTGCAGAGAAAGTTCAAGATAAGCCTAGGCAACTTAAGTGAGACTCTCTCACCAAGGGGCTGGTGCTGTAGTCTAGTGGTAGAGCACTTGCCTAGCCAGGCTTGCACAGCGCTTCACGGTTAGGTTACACCTCAAGGAAGCCTTGGGACTCAGGTCTGGGCTTATGTGCAGTCTGCACAAAGGTGCTTTTTTAGTTTCTCAGAAATAAATAGTAGCTCTGCAAAGCACCTTTAAAGACCTCATTCTCTAGATCTTCCTCTACGAGTTTGATCAGCCTCTTGTCTCCTGTAAGCCTTATTTCAAGGTGCCCTTAAATTAAACACTGCTTTCAAATATTTCCAGGAAATCCCCCTAGTGAAAAGAAGTTTTTAACTGAGTGATTTTAAAATCAAGTGAAATAAAGACTGTCTTTCAACCAGACAAACCCTTATGGTTGACTGGGAGTAAGACTTTGAAGGTCTTTTCATCACAGAGTTATGTGCTGTGGCCCTCTATGGCTACCAGAGACCTGGGAGGGCTGGATAATGGGAATGAGGCAGGTAAGTGCACTGCTGTTTGTAGGGAAAGTGCTATGCTATCGGTGTAGACCGACACACTCATGCCTTTCCATAGTGTCAGAATTCTTTGAATATCACTAGACTCGCAAGCTCCATTAGTAATATCAGCTGTACTTCATGGACTACTTCTGGCTTCACTTACAGCCATAGCTTTGACAATTCCAAGTTCCTTATCTATTCCTATCTTACTGAGACCTATAACACTCAAATCACGAATACCATCACACAATTATATACAGGTTACAGAAAGACTGAAAAAAATGAGGCTACTTAGCCGGGTGGTGGTGGCACATGCCTTTAATCCCAGCACCCAGGAGGCAGAGCCAGACAGATCTCTGTGAGTTCGAGGCCAGCCTGGTCTACAGAGCGAGATCCAAGACAGGCACCAAAACTACACAGAGAAACCCTGTCTCGAATAACAAAACAAAACAAAACAAAAGAACAAGGCTACTGGCTCTAAAGAGACAGTGCAGAGTCAACGCAAAGAGGCAATAGAGAGATTCAACACAACTTCGAGAGGAAAGTTTACTTGGCTTACAGGTTACAATCTATCATTGAGGGAAGCCAAGGCAGGAACTCAGTGCAGGAGCTGAAGTAGAGACCACGGAAGAAAGGAGGAACACTGCTGAACTGGCTTGCCTCTCCTGGTTTGCTACCTTCCTTGTACAGCCAAGTCCTACCCGCCTAAGGATGGCACCGCCCACAGTAGTCTAGCTCCTCTTCGATCAATTGGAAATTAAGAAAGTGCCTCACAGACACGGCCACCAGTCAGTCTGAGATGAGCAATTCCCTCTTCCCAGATGTGTCAAGTTGACAACCAAAATCAGTCATCACACCCAGGATTTCGCATGGGTTTAGAATATTTCATTCCGGCCCTCACAAGACACATGGTTTCCTAAAAGTTCCCGCTCCTTAGCATTTGTTTTGCTTTTGAGACATGGTCAGGTTTGACATGAGGTCTGTGTTAGTGGAGGCAATCTACTCCAAGGACCGGGCTGGTGCGTCTTGACAGGAACATTACTGAAAGCCTGGAGAGTGGCACTGCATCAGCCCACTTTGTGTTTTTAAGACCAAGTAACTGAGTGGCTGGCACTCAGACGGGGATTTATCTTGCTTGTGATCCTGGTGGTTGGAGGCTGTAAGCAGTGTGGTGCTGGCATACTGGCAAGGTCCTCCTGCTGTATCACAGTATGGTGGAGAACTGCAAAGAAGGTTACCATCTGCAGAAGAAGGGTATGGGCTGTCTGGAGAAGGGCACGCTTGCTTGCTCTTTTCCTAGCAACTTGTTTGAGAGAGAGCTGATCCACTCCTGCCAATCCTCACAATGTTAATCTACTCACCATGGGAGCGCCTGGGACCTAGTCACTTCCCACTTAGCTCAACACTAAGGTTGACAGGTTAACACCCTCACACTGGGAAACAGGCTTGTAGCCTGGGAGCCTTGGAGAGACTGACCCTACCTACCAACCTGCAGGGCCTCAGAAGGAAGCCTGGCAATGCATTTGTTTTTAGGAAGCTGCTGCTTCCTGCAGGTTCTGAAGAAACCAAGTCATTCATTTGGGGACTTTTACAGAGAAGTACAAATATTCATCATCTCAATTTCTTTTTATTAAATTTTTATAGAACATCTTCCTATCACACTTTCCCCTTCCTCAACTCACTGCAGATCCTCCCCACCTCTACACCTGCTCAACTCTGCTTTCCTCCTCTCTAAAAAACAAATGAAGCAAAAACAAAAAGGAACCAAGAACTCTCTGTCTTTCTCTGTCTGTCTCTGTCTCTGTCTCTGTCTCTGTCTCTGTCTCTCTCTCTCTCTCACACACACACACACACACACACAACCAAAAAAGGAAACTCACAAAACCAGAAACTAAAATATACAAGCAAAAGACCAAGCAGACCAAAAAAAAAAAAAAAAGCCCAATCAATTTAAGCACTTTGAGACAAGAAGTCTACAAAAACACTGTTGAGTTCATTTAGGAAAGATTAGGAGGTGTGACCCTGTTGCAAGAGGTCTGTCACTGTAGACCAGCTTGCTCTGAGGTCTTAAAAGACTCATGCTACTTCTAGCTAGTTCTCTCTGCTTCCTGTGTGTGGATCAAGATGTGTCCTCTCAGCTGCTGTTTGGCGCCAGGATGGCCATGGACTCCTAGTCCTCCGGAACTGAAAATCCCAAACACTTCCTTCTATAAATTGCTTCTATGGTGTTTTATCACAGTAACAGAAAAGTAATTAATTAGAGATTCAAGTGTCTTAATTGGACCACAGTCAGGTTGTATGTGAATGCTAGTTAAGGCATCCAGATTTAGGGCTTGAAAACGCACCGTCAGTTTGCTTCACACTGCCTCAGCAATCATGACTATGAAACATGCTTCGGGTTCAGCTCTCAAAACTGTGAAAGTAAGACCGAGGGGACCTGGGGCACATTCTGCTGCCTTTAAATTTTCTGACTGCATGTTCATACAAGACCAAAGGAAACAGCATGAGCAAAATGAAGTGGGGAGGCCTCACATCCCCATTAAGCCTTGGAGACTCCCTCCCTGGCCTATCGCTGTGACTCTCTGGAAAGATGGCTTTAATGGCTGCCTCCCATGCCTTCCCATGCTGCAGGCTGTCTTACCTCTGCCACTCAGGGAAAGAGTGACAGATGGTCTCCTCTGCGTGGCTTTGCTGCTTGCCAGCATTCATCGTTCTGTACCCTTTGGCTACTTTTGACGGTGCTGAATGAATGAACTGATCTTCATTCCTAAAATGTCCTTCTGCTCTTGCCTTCTGGGAATGCTCCCTCTCATTTTAACTCCTGAAATGCTGACTGCACCTACTCCTTGGTCCTCATACCAGCTACTTGCCACTTTTAGAAGCCCTCCTACGTTTCTCCAGGGGTGATTTCTGTAACATCTACCTAGCAGCATGCTGGCCTGATCTGTGTCCCTGGTCTCCACCTGGAAGGTGCACGCCCCTAGTTCAGACTCACCCCAATTCCGAGTTTCATACTTGTGATTATAACCTCCTGCTGATACCAGCATGGATATTTAGCAGTATCTCTAATCAAACATGCCCCAAATTGTATAAACTGTTTCCCACAAGAGTTGTTTTTCCTCTTTCCTTTCCAAGTCCCCCTGTCACCCTCAGCCTGGAGATACTGAGTTATTGTTATCTGTGGTGGTTTGAATGGCCCCACAGGCTCTTATGTTTGAAGATTTGGTCTTCACTTGGCAGAACTGTTTGGGAAGGATTAAGAGACAAGGCCCTGTTGGAGGAGGTGTGTCACTGTGTATGGGCTTTGTGGTTTCACAAACCCACACTATCCCCAGTTACACAACATTCTCTGACTCATGCTCATGGATCAGATGTGAGCTCTCAGCTACTGCTCCAGAGCCATTCCTGCCCACCTGCTGCCAGGCTCCCCACTATGGTAGTCATGGACTCACCCTCTGGAACTATAAGACCCTTCCCCCAATAAATTCTTTCTTCTATAGGTTACCTTGGTCATGGTGTCTCTTCACAGCAATAGAAAAGTGACTAAGAAACCAACCCCTCAAATCTACCTCCATGTTCACTCTATTCTGTCTCCTACAGAACCATCTCTGCACACGCTTTCTCTCCATGACCTGCCTTCTTAGCTACCTCTGGGACTGTGGGCATCCCTACCCCCTTTATAACTGAAAATGATGCCAGAATTCCCTCTGTAATACATAGATCTCTTCAGGGTCTGCTCTTAGAAGTTTCCAAAGCCCAAGGGCTCTTCTGGCCTTAGATATGTTTTTCTGCTAGGTGATTTTGTAGCTGAAAGTTTTCCTGTGTCCCACCTGGCCCCCGTCAGGACAAATCCCTCACAGCCGCTCAGACCCAAGTAAACACACAGAGGCTTGTATTGTTTATGAACTGTATGGCCATTAGCTCAAGCTTATTACTGACTAGCTCTTATACTTAAATTAACCCATAATTCTTATGTTTAGTCATGTGGCTTGGTACCATTTTTCAGTTCTCCCTTCATATCTCGTTTCCTCTGTGTCTGGCTGGTGACTCTTGACTCAGCCTTCCTCTTCCCAGAATTCTCCTTGTCTGCTCACCCACCTATACTTCCTGCCTGGCTACTGGCCAATCAGTGTTTTATTAAAGCAGTGTACAAGGGCATTATCCCCACAGCATGGTTTATTCTGGCAGGCATACCCATTCATTCTCCAAAGTGGCCTGTGTAAATGATGAATTATGTGGTTGTGCTGGTTACTTTTGTCAGCTCAACACAAACCTAGACATGTTTGGAGAAGATGAACTTGAAATAAGAAAATTCCTCCATTAGATTGCCTATAGGCAAGTCTATGGGGGGGGGTATTTTCTTGATTAGCGACTGATATGGGAGGGCCCTGTTCACTGTGGCCAGTGCCACCCCTGAGCAGATGGCCATGTGATATAAGAAAGCAGGCCGAAGAAGCTATGAGGAACAAGCCAATAAGCAGCATTTATCCATGATTTCTGCTTCAGTTCCTGCTTCAGATTCCTGCCAGCTCCTGCCTTGACTTCTCTCAGAGATGGAGTGTGACCTGAGAGCTGTAAGCCAAAATAGATTTTTTTTTTCTTCCCTGGGCTGCTTTTGGTCATGTTCTTTATCAGAACAATAGAAACCAAGGACAGTAGTTATCCTCTCATGGCTCTCAGGGTAAAATCCAAAGATTGACTTGTCTTACAGTCTAGCATCAAGCCGACTCTAGCTCATCTTCCTCTGCTCTGCCGCCTGCTCTCCCTGTCTCCTCGCTGTCCACATTGTTCTCTCATCCTAAAGGCTCTCTGCCATGTCCCACTCGTCAGACCCATACTCTTCTTCACCGCTAAGCCGAATAGTCTCTCTTCTGTGGAACACCATATCCTCTCTGCTGCCCTCCGCATCTGTAAGGAGGCTCCAGCTCCTCTCTCACTGGTCCTATCGCAGTTATCCAGACCTCTGTCACTTCTCCCAGTGTGAATCTGCTACAACACCCGGCCCACTGCACGGTCCTCAAAGCGTTTTTGAAAGAGGGGCTTTAAAGAAGTTGGAAGTCAAGAGTATGTTTAGCTGGCTCTGATTAGAATGAAAAGCTTTTATCTTTCATGTGGGATTTGCTCGAGAAAAATCTAACATGTCAGAGCCAAATCTATTTCTTCTTCATCTGTGAACTAATAAGGAGAATAATTGCTTCTGCCCAAACCTGCCCGTGTGAACTCAACGGAGAAATAAAACCAGACCCTGCTGTTGAAACAGGGCATGCTGAAATAAGAGTGAGATCCATATCCCATCCCCTGTCATCCATCTTCCATCCATCCAGGGCCTGGGCGGAGTGAAGGAAACAGAAGATTCTGGCATCTGACAGATGGCTAAATACAGCTGTTGTTTGCTTGCTTCCTTCCCTCGTTCCTCTCGAAGGGGTCGGTTACATGCGGTACAAGCACCAGTGCCTGGGTTGGTGCAAACAATGGCTACAGCCTAAGAACCCAGTGCAGCGCCCGCTCAAGCTGGGGATCCCTGAGGCGGCCTTACACCCACTCTGCTTGAGGAATCAAGGCAGATTGTCTGGAGGACATTGTGCTGGGTGGCAGGTTAATGGACAAAGAGGCACTCTTACCTGTCCGGGGAAGATGCTGCTGTCGTGCTGAGGAAAGAGGTCTAGGTTCGTTACACAAGTTTGTTAGAGTCGTGGTGGTGCAAACCTGTAGTTACAGCTCGCAGGACGTAGATGCGGGAGGGTCACAAACTAGAGACCAGCTGGAGCTGCAAAGTGGGATCCAGAGTGAAAATTCATAGAGTTTTGAGCTGTAAGGCATTACAGAGATCATGTTAGGATTCCGGAGGGCTGGAGAGGTACCTCAGTAGTAAATGTTTGCTTAACATGGTCAAGACCTTGTGTTCAATCCCAACAAACCCTTGAACTCACAACTGTCATAAATCGGATGATCTTCAAACATTTGCAAACTCTAACTCAAATTAGGAGAAATAGTTTATGTCGTTCATGAAACAATATTCTCACAGCACTTTTTATACTGTCTCGTGTTTCAAAACTATCCTTTTTCTTTTTCTTTTTGGTTTTTTCGAGACAGGGTTTCTCTGTGTAGTTTTGGTGCCTGTCCTAGAGCTCGCTCTGTAGACCAGGCTGGCCTTGAACTCACAGAGAGGTCATGCTTGACCTGATGGTTTTTCTAACTCACTAAAGGAGTATAACCTTTATTTTGAAAAAAAAAAAAAAAAAAAAAAATTGACCTCTCTCTTTGATTGTATTTCCGTCTAGAAGCAGTGACCTAGAATAATAAGATGACTAGGCCTAGAAGAGCAAAGAGACATTTAAATTCTAGTTTGAGGGATTGGTGTTAGAGATAAAGAATCCTTACACCAGATCTGGTGGTTTACATGTACAATCCCAACGCTTGGGAAGCTGAGGCAGGAGGATTGGCAGAAGAATGAAGCCGACGTGGGCTGCATAGCAGGATTCTGTCTCAAAACACAGACTCCATTGATCACTGGGTATTTTAGGGCTTGCCTTCCCCAGAAGTCCCTCTATTTAGGAAGGGACAGCACCGTCCTGGAGGGAGAGCATAATGGCGAATTAATACGTGAGGGACCCAGGTCTTTTCTAGCTTCATTAAGACACACTGGATGCTTTGATCCTTCTGAGTGAGAATTCTTAGCTTAGTTTGGCTTGGATACGGGTGATGCCACCTGTGTGGAGTAAAGGGCCTGTTAGAACTGTACGGGTCTTGGTCTGATATGGACACCTCCCAGGCATTCTGCCAAGCAACTCTCCTTCTGGGGGCCATTGTTGCAGCTGAGAAGCTGCCTGGATCTCTGGCTGATGGGGTGCAGTCTAACACTGCAGTGTGCCACAGTGAAGTAAACCAAATGCCGGGACTATCGGCCTCTTGAGGAACAGCTTCCTGCTGTCTGGGTTTCATAAGGCAGTACAAATTAAAAAATGGTTTAGAAATCAGTATTGGATTGTCAGTTTTTGTTTTGTTTTGTTTTGTTTTGTTTTTTTTTTTGTCCCAAGTAAGGAAATATTTGAAAAGGGAGGAGAAGAAAGATGTGGTTATAGGGTAGGGGGGAATCACTAACACCCCCACCCAATCTAATGTCAATCATGAAAGTAGAAAAGATATCATCTTGGATGAAAGATAATTTCAAACATTGACTGCATCTAGCTTTTTATATATCACAACTACTACGTTGTTCTCATTTCTCTGGTGAACACACTTCATTACAGATGTACTGGTGTGTAAACCAGACCCTGGAATTACTGTTCAGATAGATAGAAACTTCTTCCTGAGGTTATTCACCCTCAAATGAGGAAATCTGGATGCTTTATGCTTTGCTTGACATGAAGATAATTATATAAGTCATAAAAAAAAAACATTAAGTGGTTTGGAAAATCACACACAAGCCATTAGCCAGATTATACGAAATATGAGAAACAAGACAGCTCCTACGATCTAGTTTATCAGGCCATTGCCAGTTGTCTGCTAACTACTACCATTCTAGAATCAGTCACCGAATGCAGTAGACACTTGCTTCCTTTTTCTCTCCTGCAGGAGGACACTGGAGGCAGTGGCCTGACTTCCCCAAACCCTTTATTTCTCCGAAGGCCCTATGGCAAGCTACATGCATTGTATGCATGGTAGGGCTTTGTGTTTTTATTTATTTAGTTTTGAGAAGGTGGGGGTCTCTCTGTTGTCAGCGTTGATCTTGAATTCCTGCAATCAAGCAGTCCTTCTGTCTTGGCCAGGGCAGTAGCTGGGATCCCAGGTGCATTCTACCACCTCCAGCTTATATTTGATTTTGATTTGATTTTGTATAGCCTAAGTTTCTCTGTGAGCTCCAAAAGACACTCTTGCCACTGAAATGCATAAGCTATTATCAGGAAAGAATATGCTTGCATTTAATACAGCATAAAATGGGATCCTAACTGTAGCTGTCATTCTCATAACCACTACTGGTCTTACCAATTGTTAGACTTTAGAATTTGGGGAGTAGGGGAGTGCTTGAAGAAACAGGAAGATGTATTGGTCTGCATCTGTTACAACATATTTGAGAAACTGGATAGATGCACATCTAAACATTTTGTTGAAACTCTACCTCTGCCCAAAAATATTCAGATGTCACTTGATACCTCCTTGGAATTTCAGTGCATCACCATTCCAATTTATTGCCAATGGTAAGAAATCAAAATCATCATTTTGAAACCTTCCCAGGTTTGCACAGGTCAGGTCTGATGCTGCTTCCTAAAACGCACTGGGGTTTGTCCTTTTCCCTAGCTTTACAGAAGCAAACATATTCTGGAAGTGTTTGTATCTCTCCTCTCCATTTCTGACTGTCGAAACTGATACAGACTAGCTGAGCTGCCTTACTGATTAAGCCTTTGCCTCAGCAATCGTGAGAATCAGAGATCCATGTAAATGCTGGGTGGGCCCAGGGGCCTGCCTTTACTTTAATTCCATCCTTGAAGGCTGAGACAGGCCTCCTAAAAACCCCACAGGGAGCTGCCAGATGAGACCAGTCACATTGGTAAGCTCTGAGTTTGACTGAGAGACCCCCACCTCATTGAATCCAGTGGAAGAATAATCAAGAATGATTCCTGGTGTCAACCTTGGCCTCCGCATGTTTGCGCATACACATACCCACATAAGTGTTCCAATACACACACACACACGCACGCACGCACGCACGCACGCACGCACGCACGCACGCACGCACGCACGCACGTGCGGGCAAGCTTTAGCATTTAAAATATGCAGAAAAAGTGATGGCTACATAAGTCCAGTGGGTGGCCCTGCACCCACCCAATACTGACAGCACTAAATGGGTTTAGTGAGTTAAAAAAAAAAACAACAACACATTATTTTGGGAGGGAAATGTCAGGCATGGGAAGAGTTTGGAGGGGAGAGAGTTGGGGATGGATTTGATCACAGATATTCATGTATGAAATTCTCAAACAAATTTTTAGTTTTGAATTAAAAAAAAATGAAGAGATAAAACTTTCATATGGCCAACCCTTGCACAGACGCACACTAAGAGAGGAAATGTACTGTGTCTCAGCCAAAGCAGAAGGAGGTTGGTTGACACTGAGTCCACAGCCACAGCGGGATCTCTGGTCCCACAGGGGGTGCTGGGAGGAGGGAATCCAGGGATGCCAACGGTTTCTCCTGAGGCCCTTGGCAGTGCAGCGCTGTATCACTAGATGTCAGTGTGGCCTTTTCCTGTCACTGCCTTTGTGTGTGGAAGACAGCAGCACCCAGGACCTTTCCTCAACCCAGGGCTGGCTTCAGAACCATCATTTCACCAAGTATTTTGTCTATTTTAATAGTTTCATTTTTTCAGCATCTTTAAAAACACAGACACTCTGAATTAAAGGTTACTCTTTTAAATATCACAACTTTTTATTCTCAATGCTCACCCTAGGAAGGTGGCCGGCAAGGACGCTCCAAGGCAGGTAATGGAAAGTTCCACTCAGGGTCTTTAAAGTCAGAGAGTGTAGGCCCAGCCTCAGGAAGCCACAGCACCCTACCCCTACACCATTGTTCACAAAGGGAGGGTGGGGGAGGGGGCAGGAAGCTGTGGCCAAGTGTTTCTGATCAACCTCAGGAGGTATAGTGGCCTTGTTTACCAGTTTGGGGTGGTGGTGGTTAACTGTCCTTCGGGGGTTTTTTTTTAGAGATAGTTTGTCATCAGGAGATTTCTGGAGCCTTGAAGAAAAGTCGCTGAACGAGTTGGCTGTCTCTGACACAGCGGCTCCCAGGAACTGGGTAGCTCAGACCAGAACAAACTCACAGCTTCTGAAGGTCACTGGGTTCAGATCAAGGGGCAGGCAGAGAGCTGTTGGCTCCCGGATGCTCCTGAAGATCCACCTCCATGCCTTTTTGGCAGCTTTGAGGAGCCACCGCATTCCATGGCTTGTCTCTAACCCCCCACCCCACCCGCTTCTGTCTCCAAAGCCAACAATGATCAACCTAGTCTCCCTCCCCACGGGGAGGGGGGGGGGGAGTAGAACCTAGGACCTCATATGAGCTAGGTAAAAGCCACATTCCCAACCTTAAAACAACAACAGCAAAACAAAAAACAACACACACACACACACAAAACCAACCCACAACTTTTTATTTTGAAGCACCAACTCACTTACTGGCCCAGGCAGGCCTTGAACTTGTGATCCTCTTCTCTCAGCCTCTGTAGTAGCTAGGATTAGAGATCTGGGCTACCAAGCTCGGCTCTGTCTAGTCTTTCTTGGCATCCCTCTGCCGCTCCCTCTCCTGTCTGCCTCTTTTGCCTGTGAAGAAAGTGGGCCAACCCAGGTGGTTCAGGACAATCTTCCTACCTCAGGACCCTTCACCTGCAAAGGCCATCTTGCCATAGAAGGTAGCAGATCCGCAGATTTTGGGAATGAATATATGGAGAATCATGGGCTGCTGGTGGTATATGTGTGTGGGAGCAAATATCTAGCACAGTAATTAATTTAAAAACAGCATAGGATGCAAGTTCCAGTGCCACTGACTGGTGCTTTTTTTTTTTTTTTTTAATATGGCAGACAGTATCACAGAATAGTAAGACCTGAATTGGCTTAGCTCATGGAATATCAACAATGAAAAATAAATTTGTTATACCTCCTATTAATATTCAGTCACTCCCCAGCCTGACTGCACTAACTCTACCGGCCCTGGTGACCTCTGCTTCCAGGTGATTGATTGGGTGAGATGCAGCCACAGCACTGAGAAAAGTGAGACCTGGTGCTGGGGAGACATGCTCGGGTGGGCCTCTGTGCATCCCATCCACAGTCAACAAAAGGACTGGATGTCACTGAGTAGGGGAGTGCTGGTTTAGATGTCCTTGTTTCGGCCACCAACACAGCAAACAAAAACACCCAACTCAATCCCATGACCTGCTGCAAACCAAGGGCGGGTTTCCTTTTGCCTATGTGTGGCTGAGTTCAGTTCCTCCTCCCAAGTGGTCTTTCCCTCCGTATTCATACCCGGCACTAGAAGCACCGACCAGAAAGCTCCTGCCCCAACCTCACCTCTTCCTTCTTTCAGAGTCTGTCTCCAGCCTTCAGAGCCCCCTACTCCAGTTTCTCCTCCTGCCTGTGTGCCTACATCAACTCCTAAAGGGTGTACTTTCCTCTCCCCCATCAACCCATTCTCCAAAATGCTGCCCGAGATAACCTATCCTTTCAAAATCTAAATATGACCACGCTGCAGCTGCCTAGGCGAGCAGTGCTCTCTTGCCTTTTGGATCCTTGCCCAGCAGGCCAAGCCAGCTGGACTCTGGCCCAGCCCCACTCTTCCAGCTGGTTCTCAGACTTCCTTGTCTCCTTCTCTTCATTCCAGCTAGTGAAATGCTTGTAGTTCTTTGGATACTCAAAGCTCTCCTTTGCTTCATCCAGGCTCTTGTACCCTAGGCTATCTATAGATGTGTAAAGCAACTGTCTCAAGAGTGGGGATTGCAGCTTCGTTCTTCGCCCAACTTCCATCCCTTGGCTCCCGTGAGCAATCACCCCGTACTCGGACCATCTTTCTGTCCAGGCATGGTGGCTGCAGGCCATGAGGGCAGGATTAACTTTGTGTCTCTAGTGCTAAGACATTACACGTGTGCAGCCAATGTTTGTTTAAGAATGAAGACGTCTTTCATAGGGGTCCGGATGTATGCTAATATTTCTGTCTACCAGGGATGACCCGGCCCAGGGCTATGTTCCAAAACCTATTGGTTCAGACTTGGAGCTCTAGAGTTCAGCCAAAGACCATCTGGCTTCTGGGAAACAGGGGGTGTGGTAAATTGACCAGTAGCTCTTACCACCCAGTTTGCCTTCTCATTCTCAGCAAGAGGTAATCCTGCGTTTCTGACTCGACTCTTTCCCGCTTGCCCAAACTTGGGAGCCAAGATCATTCAGATGTCACCTCAAGGGAACTGACCACTTAAAGCACAGGCTGCTTTGGCAGTAAAACATAGAGGACAACCAACTTGGCATAGGAATAACAGTTAGCTAAGCCAGTGGTAATCTAAGGCGTGCATTAATGACTGCTGCCTGCCATTCTGATCCACAATAGGGGCTGAAAGCCTGCAACGGTCTGAGTCTGGAGAAGCATTCACTGTGGGGAGTTAAAGAGAGTACGCTAGAGCCACTGTACTGGGGAGGTTTATACAATCCAGGCCTAAAAGACAGGGCTTGCCTCTGCCGGGGCCTTGGCTACTACGGAGGGAGGAGGTGGTACAGGGTCTTATGCTCCTTTTTAATCATTCATATATTGCCTCAGGGATTTGTGAAAGTGGTAGGAGATGGGGGTGGATGGCGCATATGCACCGGAGGAGGGAACGCATGCATTATGTAGCAGGGAGCTATTTTTTTTTCCTCCAAGTTCCTTTTCACTTCTATAGGCTGGGAAATCCCCTTGGTACTGAGCCCATTCTTCCCACTAAGTTTTATATCTTTGCAACAGTATGGCCCCAGTAAAGCCTTTTACAACACTATGGAATCTAAGAGGTTTCTTTGGAATACAGGAAAAACATCATAGGTTATGTTTGTTTTGTGCTAAGGGTTTGAAGTAAAGGGTGTGTGTGTGTGTGTGTGTGTGTGTGTGTGTGTTCATTTATGTGTGCACATGTCTGTGCATGCATTCAGAAGACCAGAGATCCATCTTGGCTGTCATTCCTTAGAAGCCCTACACATCATTTATTTATTTATTTTGGGCCAGGGGTCTCTTCCCTGAGTCCTGGAGCTCCCTGATTAGGGTAGGATGGTGAAGTGGTAATTAATGAGGCAATTCCACGGAGTTTATCTGGTAACCAAAGGGGTTTATTTTGGGTTAACTTACAACAAACAAAAAGGAGTTGGTTTCGGGGTTCAGGAGGGGTGAGGTGTGGTTCGACGTGGTTCTCTGGAGAACTCTGCCTTAGTCCGCAGTACCAGCATCCAGCATCCAGGACCACGAGGTAGCCAAGAGAGAGCATTCCAGGTCTTAAGGGCCCCCCACCTCGGCCACATCCCATGGGGGGGGGCAGGTACCTAGCAATTATCTGCTGCCTACTAGGGGCGGTGCTTCAGGAGTACAGCACAGACAACCACCCCTACAGGATGGCTCAGTGAGCCTCAGGAATCCTCAGATGTTCATCTCCTTGGAGCTAGGATTACAAGCTACACTACCATACCTGTCTTTTTACATGGTGCCGGAGACTGCGGAGACCCAACTCTGGTCCGAATGTTTGTGTGGCAAACAGTTTATAGACTGAGCTATCTCCTCAGCTCCAAGATGTTGGTTTTCTTTTCTTTTTTTTCTTAATTAAAAGATTGTTTGCAAGCCAAAGTGAATTGAGAGTAGACTATAATACACATATTTAATCTCTTATTAATAACTTTATACTAGTTTGATAAGCAAGAATCAAGTTATTTTTATTAGCAGGTGCTGACATTCTGTCTCAGCTGTTTTTAGAAAAGAAAATGATTCTAAAATCTACGTAACTAGAACACAGGGCACTGCTCAGGAGCTGATTGACATGAAATATTTTTGTGACACATTGAAGCCCAGTTAAGACACCAAAGATTGTTCAAAGTGTTAGCTACCCTATGAAATAAAGAAAAGTTCATTTAAAAAAACCCCGTTAGATATCAAAGATTTCAAATAACTTCTGGTCTTTCTATATATCCTTATCCAGTCAAGCCATTATGGTGATGTACATACAGTCATGACGACTAATCACTTACTAATGACACTTTAAGTGTTAATAATTCAATTGTACAAAATAGTGAAATCAAGTCCATCAAGTTTTAGCATATTCTAAACTGCACAGTGTCACAACCTGCTACAGACAATATGCATGATATCGTTCCACAGTGGGTAGGACACCGAATTCCAAAGTGCTTTCAGACAGACATTGGATCTTTGGAGACGCTCAGCTACTGAGACTGGTACTGTGCTCATGTGCACTTCACACATTTTACAGGAAACAGGTTGAGCTAGAGTAAGCGACTTGGCTTGCCTTAATGGCAAAGCCAGCATTAAACAGAATCAAGACCTAACCCCAGCCTGACTTGACTTTACACCTACCCTGTGGTGTGTGCGCATAACCCTGTCCCGATGGGCTCTGCCCGTCGCTTTGAGCTCACTAAAGAACCGATGGAGGCAGGCGGAGGGAAGAGCAAGTTTACTAAAGGAATGTGGAGAACTGGTAGGCTGTGATGCAGCTCCACATCTGAAGTGAAGTTACAGCTGCTTGGCGAAAAAGCTCAGTCCTCATGAGGATTGCTATTTGGAGAGAGACGAGAAGGCTGAAGAGAGGGAGAAGAGCATCAAGGAAAAGAAAGAGAAGAGTCCCTCCACCCCGGTGAAGTCCAAGAGTAACAATGTAAGTGTGTGAGCGACTTTCAAGAATCATTTTCGGGCCAGTGAGGTGACTCAAGCAAGTCAAGGCACTAAACCCCCGGAACCCACACTGCAGGAGAACTAACTCCTGAGGGTTGTCCGCTGTCACACAAGTATGTCACGCAAATTTCATAGCACGAGTGCTTCCACATACATTTGTATACACAAATAAAATGTAAAAAAAAATTTTTTTTTTTTAAAAGAATTATTTGCCGGGCTGTGGTGGCACACTCCTTTAATCCCAGCACTTGGGAGGCAGAACCAGGCGGATCTCTGTGAGTTTGAGGCTAGCCTGGTCTACAGAGCGAGACCCAGGACAGGCACTAAAACTACAAAGAGAAACCTTGTCTCAAAATAACCAAAAAAAAAAAAAAATCATTTTAGCATGATTGGAAAATATGAATATACTCATTCACTGAAAAGCTACTGTACTGACATAGACTGTTGAGTGTCTAATGAAAAGTTTAATGCCATGATCAGAGCTATGAAGGGATTATTATATAGCATTGTCTTCTGTCCTGGGAATGGAGTGGCTGGTGATATGTGCAGGGAAAAGACATTTAACCAAATGATGATGTAACACAGGATATTTTATATAAAAGCTCAGAGTAGCTATATATGTATATTAGGTGCAATGCATGTATTCTTTTCCTCCTCCCTCCCTCCTCCCTCTCCTCATTATTATTGAGATTGGTTTTTGCTGTTTCTCAGCCCCTCCCCTCGCCCCCCAGACAGGGTTTCTCTGTGGTGTTTTGCTTCCTGTCATGGATCTTGCTTTGTAGATCAGGCTGGCCTTGAACTCACAGAGATCCACCTGGCTCTGCCTCCCGAGTGCTGGGATTAAAGGCGTGCGCTACTACCGCCGCCCGGCTCCCTCCTTCTCTTCTCTTTTGAAAGAATGACTAAAATCACTACATAAATGACTCACTGCAAATACAAAAGGGGAGGGAACGTGACAACGCATTCATTTTTGCTGTTTGTACAAACTCACTTGCTGTTTTTCCACGCCGACAATGCTTCTGGCATCCTCCAAAATGCGAGCGCGGGTCGGAACCCGCTGGCCCAAACACCACACACCGGAAGGCACCAAGGATTCTGTGAAATTCCATTTAGAGAAACCACAAGATTTTAAAGCCGCTATTGCCCTGGAGATTTAATTCAAACATTATGGGCAAGGAAGCGAAAGTCCAAAAAGGTAAAACAATTTACAGTCTGCATAATTTGGCTCGGGGTTGGGCCTGAAAGCCGAGTTTCAGGGAGAAGATAGTCTCTGCACCTCAGCTTTTGCTGTACCCTTGAAGGTCAGGCTGGATTATCGTTCCAGTTTTGTGTTCTTCCAATTGTGGGCTCCCTGCCCCAGGATAATTCAGATCAAGTTGTTTTCGTTGTCCTTCGCGCCCGCCACCCCCGACCCTCCCCGCCAACCGGTACTGTTCTTTTTGTTTTCCTTTAAATCGTCCTCACGGCTGAGACTGATTTGTTCAGTTGTTTGTTTGTTTAATCAGTGTATACAGCACCAGCGAAGGTCACATCCACCGGCTCCGGTCCCAGGGCACCCCCACCAATGCCCCAGCCAGGAAAAGGTGCACTTGCTCTTCTCCAGCGTCCACGGGCCACGTGCGGGAGGAGGGGCCGCCTTCTGATTGGTTCCCGGAGCTTGGCCTGGAGGGCGGGGCCACCCGTCTGTCCATCACCACATGCTGGGCGGGGCAAGGGCGGGCAAGCCTGGCTGCCGGGCAGAGTCAGGCCGGCGGGACCCAATCTGTGCGCTGCGCCTGAGGTGGGCCGCAGCTCCTCCAGTGCGGGCCGCGCGGCGACGGTTGCTGGGGCGCGCGCCGCCCGTTCCTCTTCCCCGTTGCGAGCGGCTGGCGCGCAGGGA